CCTCAGGAAAATACCATCCACTGGCAAGTTGGTGCTGACCCTCACCACCGATGCGTGTGAAGGGAAGGAAAATTTCGTCCGCTACCTTGAGCACGTCCAAGCTGTCATCACAGTCAATGCAACCAGGAGAGGAGACCTGAACATCAACATGACTTCCCCTATGGGCACCAAGTCCATTTTGCTGAGCCGGCGTCCAAGGGATAGATGACTCCAAGGTGGGCTTTGACAAGTGGCCTTTCATGACCACCCACACTTGGGGGGAAGACGCCCGAGGAACCTGGACCCTGGAGCTGGGGTTCGTCGGGAGCGCACCTCAGAAGGGGGTGTTGAAGGAGTGGACCCTGATGCTGCATGGCACGCAGAGTGCCCCTTACATTGACCAGGTCGTGAGGGATTACCAGTCCAAGCTGGCCATGTCCAAGAAGGAGGAGCTAGAGGAAGAGCTGGATGAAGCTGTGGAGAGAAGCCTGAAAAGCATCCTGCACAAGAACTAGTGCTGCACCCTGGCTCCGGCGCCTCCCTCCCTCTCCTATCTCTGCCTCTCTGTCCTTGCTCCATTCTTTGTCAGGCACCTAGCAATTCCAACTTCTTGATCTGAAGCTTCGTTCACTGTCAATGATTATTTTCTTTACAATGGAAATAATCTTTTTTATTCTATGCCCCAAATACAGTGTTCCCACCAACATCTACGTTCTATTTGTGACTCTAGGTTCTTTATTTGTGTCACTCAAATAGGTGATATCGTGCAAAGGAAAACTTGGACAACTTTCCCCTCAATTTTTTTCAGATCTGAGAAGAGAATGCATGTCAAAAGCTACACACAGTGACTCCAAGAATGTTTATTCATGGTCTCAACTGACCTGTTAGATAAAAAAAAATGAACTGAGCACGATTTTTCAATGACATAGTTGAAGGTGGCATGATTTGAAAGATGCCATCCATGAGAACTGTAATTACTGGAGGGGGGAGAGTAAAACAGCATGGGCATTGGAAATCTTACCACCAATACCAACACCATAACTTTTCCTACTCAGCCAGCATGACAAATATAAAACCTAAGTAGCGTGGCTGTCCTTTCACCAGCTATTGCTCTGAGTTACGGTAAAATATTCTAGAGAAGTCCAAATTACTCTCAGTTTCCAAAGAATTCATTTCAGCCCCAACTTTCTGGGGTTTCTCACATAACTATCCAAAAGGGGAAAATGCAAGGCAGGTCTGGCAACACACCATAGTAGTTTTTAACCCAGGAACATTCCCTTTCCTAATTCATTTGGGAACTTCTTAATCTGATGGAAGCAAGAGGCCAGGTGAGTATTTTTTACAGCTTTGCACGTATGAACTTGGGCTTTGAGTTCCAAAACATGTGTTTGGCAGGCAATATCTTACTCCTTCACGTTGTGATTTCTTTGATGTGTTAGGGCAATGGCCTCTGTTCAGGCACAGGTGTATGGAGGGTGAAGTGGGCATGTCTGAAGATGTGAGCAGCCATTTCACATGGACCTTCATTTGTATGGAGCCTTTTCTGCCAAAGTGGGGAATGCCAACTCATCCCCTGCAACTTGAGCCTGAAGGGAGCAAGAGAAGCCCTTAGTAGGGAAAGCACAGGTACCATCTTGGCAACTAAGTAGTCCATGATGGTGTTTAACAGGTCATCTAAAGCGGATACATTCTTCTCCCCTGTCTACCCCAAAAGACACCACACCATCTCATTACCAAATAGTAATGCTTTCTGACCTGTTTTCCTACTCAAAGATGGACTCCTCATCCCCATTCCCAATGCCCACACATTCCCAAGAAATGACTCATTTGTTTGAGTTGATTCCCAAGAACTGATCAACTACTCTGGCTACATTTCTCCCTTCCCCTGCGGGTACATAGCTAAGCCTGGAGTTCCCTTCCTCAAACACCAGAGCACCAGTTTCCATTCCCTGAAGGTTACAACTTTAAGAAAGAAGTCTGGAAAACCCATTTTCTTTCTTTTTTCCCCATGTTGGCATGAATTTGTCTTCTCTAACACCATATGACCTTCTCTATTTAATGCTTTAAAATGTAACAAAATTTATGATTTTTAAAAGAAATTTATTACTTGTTGCGAAGGTCTTTTTAAACCAGTTTAGATTTTAAGAAAAAAATAAATGGAATCATCAAAAATTCATTTCCCATTAACTGTCTGAAAATAAACCAAAGGACATTATGTGTGTATAAGTGCACACAGAAATATATATATACATATGTAGACTATACACATGTGTATATATGTATATATATACATTTGTATAAATGTATATACACACATATACCTAAAATGTGTGTATGCATATTTATTGGAGAAATAGACACCATGTTCATCTTTAAAAGAATATTCAGAGAATATCAAGGTGATACTGGCTGAAGAGAAAAGCCAGTGGAAATTCAGGTGAAAATGTTCATTGATTCCCATTGTATCACCTCTGTAATTTTGCAGCTCTCTGTATAAACATTAAATGTCTTATATGGCAGCAAAAATATAAAATAGTGTCCATATTTTCACAGTTGTGGTATAATTTATGAAATTAGAGAGTAACTTATCAGCTTCTTAATAAAAATGGCAAGTTTTGATATGAGTATACAGTATATAAAAATATATAGTGCTATATAAAAATATTTGGTCTCTATTTCATTTTTTGCACCAGTATTAACACTAAAATATGTCTAGCTAGTGAAGTTTTTATGATATCCCTGATCCTAATGGAAGAGACATTTATTCATTTATTTTTTTAATGAAAATAAGTTGATAAATCATGATTAATCAGGATAACATTGTTGCTCCCTATTACAAAATATTCTAAACAAATTTAAAAAGTCATGTAAATTAGGAAACTTAACAAGAAAACATTACTTTCCAGAAATTGTGGGATGTGATATGCATTACATAAAAACACTGCCAGCCATTCTAGAAGCAGATAATAAAATGTTACCAAAGAGAGATCTAAAATGCCTGCTCTCATTAATATACATGAAAGATTTATAATTAGCAAATCAATCATACACAAATAAATCAAACACCTACAGCAGCATTTTTAATACAGTACTCAGGTTACATCCCAGTAGCTGGCCATAAAGTAAATTTAGGAAGACGAGACCACCATTTTGTAATAGAGTGAAATAGACCATGCATATTAATGATAAGCATTGCTTTCTGAAATGTATTTTTCAGGGATGTGTGCATGTGTCTAAGTGTATGAAGTGGCTCACAATATAAAATGCATTTCTCATTGTGGGTCATGGGTCATGGTCAAGATCTATTCTAGAATATATTTATCAGGCCAAACTACGTTGTACTGTAGTAACGAACAGCCCAAGAATCTCGGTGGTTTAACACAATGAAGCTTTATTTTTTATTTACACAAATCCTACTTAGGATTCAGTGACTCCCCAACGCCATAGACGCCCATGCAGTGGCTCAGAGATTCAGGCTGCTTCAATCTTCAATCTTATGGTTTGCAATCATAACACCGGTGGCTACAATCCATGCAGAAGAGAACCTGTGGAGGACTCTTACCCACTTTTTTATGTTCAGCCTAACGGAGACACACAGGTCACTTCAGCTACAGAGCATCGGCCAGTACTGGTCACTAACCCTGCCTAAATGTAAGCACCTGGGACAAGTAACAGATGGTTGATAAGTATTAGAGACTCTCCCACAAAAAGAGTTTGACGCGCCCTTAAAACATATTCCTAAGTACTGATTTACATGGCAACCCCTCTGCGTGGATTGTACCATGAACAGTATTATAAACTAGCGGTAGCCCATGTGACCACATGCTATTCTGGCAAATCTTAATCGTTGATAAAGTGTTAATATATTTATATTTCATTGTAAAAACAATTTTCAAATGTGTCCTGTGATATAATACTTACCATACCCAATTAGCAAAATCTTAAGAGAGCCTATGGCTAAAAGCAGACATTGAAAGGTGTTACGGTCCAAAGTCCAATCTTGTGACAAACTCCTTTTCAATACTTAAGTTCAAAGATTGATTTCTAAAAGATTAAGTTAACAAACATAATTCTTACAGAGTTGCCACTACATGTTATTGTTACTGTCACATAAATTAATAGCAGTGGTTTTCGTGTGATCTATGCCTTCATTAGTTGGAGTGATCACATGAAAACCACACACTACAAAACCTTTAGGAAACATAGGCAAGCATTTTATATTTCGAGAGAAAAATGCTGAATTAGGGGAACTGGTACCCTCACAGCTAATGTAAGTTCTTGGATACAAAAAGTTTAATTTGATAGAAATTTCTAAAAATCAAAAAGCCACGAATAGAAACAGAGTTTGGGGGAGAAAACAAGAGGTTCTAAAAATTCTGGGAGTTTGAAGTAACATCAGCACAGAATGTGTCCTGGGCCAGCGAAGGTGATTTGATTGTAGCCAGCTGGGTGGTTCTCTGTCAACAAAAAGGGTGCTAGGAGGAGCCTGCTCTCAGCTCATGGGAGTTAGGAAAATGGAGACTGGGGGGTGAATGCAGGCAGACAGTATCCGGCGTTGTTTGGCCATAGGGAAACACAGAGACCGGTGTAAAGGGGAATTCCAGTCTCTGAAGAGCTGAAGTCTGTTGAGGAGAGAACCCAATGCACTGGGGAAGCCATCCGAAGACAGTGCCTTGAAGCACCATTCTCCTGCCAATGGTCTAATTCTATGCCCACCCACAGCCTCCTGATGCTTTATTTGGCGTCCCAAGGACAATAACACCAGAAGGGTAATCAGCATAAAGAGTACTAGCATGGCATCTTCAGGAAAGATGGCCCCTCTCTTTGCATTGCAAATTAATCAACTTAGTACTTGAGTTCTTCCAATAGTCTCTTGTGCATTTCATTGCCAAGAATCCCTTCCCTTGGGTTCAAAAAAATGTGATGGAATTTGGTTTTGGATTTACAAGGGACCAGGAATTGAGGTCTGATCTGAGGCAAGTTTTCCAAGCCAGCCTGTCAGCTTCATTTTTCTCTTAAAACTTAGAAGAGACTCACTGTGTGTGAACCTGGGAACAGAATGAACTGACCGTAAGAAATGCAATTGGCCCAAAGATGAAGACTCTGTCTTTCTAAATTCCTAATGTTCAGTCCTGCATAGTTTGGGGTGGAATGGGGACAATTAGAGATCTCAGTTCACAGAATTTGAGATGCCAGAACAGCCAAATGAGGCTGGGAATTCCCTAGGTCTAATGTTAACCATCACCTATTTCCACCACGGAGGCTTCAGGCCAACCCATCCTTACCATCCCAGGGTGGGTTGTCCCATCTCATAGCACGCTCAAAGATGTCCCTCTACACCAAAGAGGACACCCAATGGGCTGCCCCAAGCTAGACAAAAGGCAGACACTGCAACCTGTTTTTTTTCTCTTTTGGCCCCAGTCCTGGAACCACTGACCAACCACAGGTGACAGATAAGCCACCTGGTAAGCTTCTGGTCATAAGGACACAAGCATGTAGGTGAAGGGGCAGTTGTGACTAGTAATTGCACCGGCACAGTGAAGTTATTGGCCAAGGATATACCTTCTTGGAAAATATACATCTCATTTCAAAAGCCCTATTTCTTTTAATAAAACTTAAGTCAATTTGGGGTTTGTGGCATGAGAAGTTGGAGTCAAGCATTTACACTAATCAAGGCATCTGAATGATGTCCTTCATTATCAATGCGCCAAGTGCTATATGAGTGTGAAGTGATTTCATTCACCAGCAACATCCCAACTACAAACCTATGATACAATAATTTTAGGAGAAACCTCAGTGGAATTTTGCAACATGAAAGAGGAAAGAAAGAAGAGATGCCAAGTTAGCAGTGTCTCCTGTTATGTAACCTGAATTTTGCATTAGACCCTGCTGGTGCATGCCCTATATCAGGGGTCAGCAAACTACAGCCCAGGGGCCCAACCCAGCACGCTGCCTGCTTTGGGAATTAGTTTTATTGGAAATAACCATGCCTATTTTTTATTGACTGTGGCTGTTTCCACGCTACAATGGCAGAGTTGAGTAGTTATAATGGAGGCTGTACAGCCTGTAATTGGGCCTTTTATAGAAAACGCTTGCCAACCTCTGCCCTCTAGCTATCTCCTCGGCCCACCCCAGAGGTCACCTATAGACAGTGTTGTACATGCCAAGGAGCTCTCTCCCTACCAGGTGTTCTCTGGCTGCAGAGATGCGCCAGACCTGGTGTGCCACAGGCAGAAGTGACAGGGGATCAATGCCCCAGGGCCACCTCACCTGAGGAAGGAAGGGAGCTGGTGCAGAAAGATCCCAGCTTCCTGGCCTCCCGTTGAGGCCATTTGAAGATGTGCTACCTGGTCTCTTCAGTCCCCAGGGGGGATGGAACCCCAGTTGCCCACAGCGGTGGCAGCAGGTTAATGCTGCCTGTGTTGGCGCCTCCCTTTCCTGTCTCGTGCCCCTTCTTGGGAGACAGAAACTCCAGCAGGGATGTTAACAGAGAGAACTGAATATAAAGCACCCTCATCTGAGTCATATAAAGAAATATTAACTGCTTAATTAGGAAGGCAAAAGAGAATTCAACTATCACAAGGACCACGCAGTCTAACACGGGCAGGAGCCAGGGGCTTGCTGGGGAGTGGCACCACGCGCCTGACTCGCCCTCCCTGCCCATGGGTGCAGAGTGAGTGCACATGGCAGGCCCCTGGAAGGCCCAGACCTCTGTGGAGGGACTCAACTGGCTGGTGATCATCGGCGGAGGTGATCATGGTTCTGCAAATGTTGGAAAAACTGAAAACTGAATCCAGCAGCTGCTGCAGGAAGTGCTGTCCCGCCAGGGTGACGAAGTGCTGCTGGGGCGATGGGGACAAGCAGGATGGAGCAGGTCCCTTCTCCCTCTTGATGGGAAATCGAACTCGAGACCCTTTGGTGGGAAGGCCAATGCTCTAACCCGTGAGCTACACTGGCCGGGCATCCATTTTTTATTATCAATTGAATATAAAAATGACCTTTCTTCCCAAAAAGATACCCTTGCCTTTTAAAATAAGAATATTAACTGAACACTTAGTCCAAAAAAAAAAGACTTCATTAAAAAAACAAAAAGGTTTGCAGTGGTTTATGCTACATAAAACCTATACTGGCCCAAATTCCTAGTACATTCTGGGCACTAGCTAATGGTTTCCATCATTCTATCTTAAGCTTTTAAATCATAAATATTTTTAAACTGTGCAATGGAGTAGGTTCTCCATTCATATTTTAGAACGAACAACACAAAAGCACTTTTCTTTATTGAAATCAAAACCTCAAATAAATTCAGAACAAGGTTTTTTAAAGCTCTAAATAGAAAGCTGACTCCATTTAATATTCTATTATCCATAACAAGGAAATAAGAGAATGTAACTTATGACTCCATCAATTTTCTTGTAAAATTGTGGTTGTCTTGCCAGATGCTTTTGTTCAGGCAGATGTGCTAATCCGTGTGAGCATGTTTGCTCTGTATTTTGTATTTTGGAGCACCTACACAGGGAAGGGGTACTTTCTTAATCAGTACAAATAAAAAATCACTTTGGGACTGTTAGGAGAAAAATAGATGCCTAGAGGCAACATAAAAATTTCTGTGAAGTTTCTAGTTAAAAGTAGGTACCTGTGTATACATGTGCATGTATGTGTGCATGTGTGCACAAGATCATGCACACACAGGTATGTTACAGCTTATTATACTACAGTGACTATTAATAAATCTGCAAGCCTCCCCTTGTCAGCATAGCACACTGTTCTGGCACATAGTATACACTCAACAAATGCTTGTTGGACGAATTAACTCCTAAACAAGGAACTATGAGGTGACATTTGATTTGGCTTTTTGAAACCTGACCCACGGCAGACACCACTGGTGTCCCACTTATATCCCCATGACCTTTACCATTTCCATGTACTTCCATGTTAATGCCCCAGGAGCAGCCCTCCCCACTGGCTGATAGGAGGTGGTGGATGAAAACCCTGCTACCTCGCCCCTAAGGCAGGATAACTCTGTGGCACATGTTCTAGTCCAGTGGTTCTCAACCTTGTGGCCCTTTAAATACAGTTCCTCATGTTGTGACCCAATCATAAAATTATTTTCGTTGCTACTTCATAACTGCAATGTTGCTACTGTTATGAATCGTAATGTAAATATCTGATATGCAGGGTGGTCTTAGGCGACCCCTGTGAAAGGGTAGTTCAACCGCCAAAGGGGTCTCGACCCACAGGTTGAGAACTGCTGTTCTAGTCCATCTCCCAGAGTCCCTCAGGGTGTGGGGGAGGAGGGATTGAGCTCCAGCTGCCCACAGTGCTAACCTGCCTGGCAGCACACCTCTTACTGGCTGCCTCTTTGCCTGTTTCTCTCCCCACTGCCCTACTGGTGTTTCCTGAGATCACATCCCTAAGACACTACATTCAGCCGTGGCCCACGTGACTTGGTTGTTTGGAACGTTAGCCCATAAACCAAAAGGTGGTAGGTTTGATTCTTGGTCAGGGCACATACCCAGGCTGTGGGTTCGGTCCCCAGTCAGGGTGGGTGTAGAGGCAACCAATGGATGTTTCTCTCTCACATCAATGTTTCTCTTTCTCTCTCTCTAAAAAATAATCAATTAAAAAATTTTAATTATTAAAAAAAAAGAAGAAGAAAGAAAGAAACTACATTTAAAGCCTTGCTTTGGGATCAGCTTCTGGGGGAACCCAAACTAAGACAGATACCTTTAATCATTTTACTCTAACAAAACACTCCTCCATGTGAGCTTGTGCATGTGCTTGAAATGCAGTGGAAATGAGCCAAGGCCATCAACCAGCATTTCCCGTGTGAAATCTGGACACTCTACCGAGTCTCAAAGCACCACAACGAAGGGCATCTCTCTCCTAAACAACCACGGTGTGGTGGCCATTTAACAGAGTGTGTCCTCCGTGTGGCTGAGGCACCTACATTCCCAAGGCCCCTGTTAATCAGACAAACAAGGTGCAAGCAAAACAAACCTTTTTAATTAGGCTTCGATGGCAATGCCAGACAGGCCAACTAAGGTCTAATCCAAACAGGAACCCCTACTCTTTATCATTTGTTCTACCCATCAAAGCACGGCCCTACAGTGGCCC